TGTGTGCCCTCAGTAACAATTCTGTGTCCCTGAGTAACAATTCTGTTCTGTTCTGTGCCCCTAAGTAACAGTTCTGTGCCCTCAGTAACAATTCTGTGTCCCTGAGTAACAATTCTGTGGCCCTAAGTAACATTCTGTGGCCCTCAGTAACAATTCTGTGTCCCTGAGTAACAATTCTGTGGCCCTAAGTAACGGTTCTGTGGCCCTCAGTAACAATTCTGTGTCCCTGAGTAACAATTCTGTGTCTGCCCTGAGTAACAATTCTGTGGCCCTCAGTAACAATTCTGTGGCCCTCAGTAACAATTCTGTGCCCCTGAGTAACAATTCTGTGGCCCTAAGTAACGGTTCTGTGGCCCTCAGTAACAATTCTGTGTGTCCCTGAGTAACAATTCTGTGGCCCCAAGTAACAATTCTGTGGCCCTCAGTAACGGTTTCTGTGGCCCCTCAGTAACAATTTCTGTGTCCCTGAGTAACGTTTCTGTGGCCCTAAGTAACGGTTCTGTCCCCTCAGTAACAATTCTGTGTCCCTGAGTAACAATTCTGTGGCCCTAAGTAACAATTCTGTGCCCCAAGTAACAATTCTGTGTCCCTCAGTAACAATTCTGTGTCTGTCCCTGAGTAACAATTCTGTGGCCCTAAGTAACGGTTCTGTGGCCCTCAGTAACAATTCTGTGTCCCTGAGTAACGTTTCTGTGGCCCTAAGTAACGGTTCTGTGGCCCTCAGTAACAATTCTGTGTCCCTGAGTAACAATTCTGTGTCCTCCTGAGTAACAATTCTGTGGCCCTAAGTAACGGTTCTGTGGCCCTCAGTAACAATTCTGTGTCTGTCCCTGAGTAACAATTCTGTGGCCCTAAGTTTCTGTGGCCCTAAGTAACAATTCTGTGGCCCTCAGTAACAATTCTGTGTCTGTCCCTGAGTAACAATTCTGTGTGTAACGTTTCTGTGGCCCTAGTAACAGTTCTGTGGCCCTCAGTAACAATTCTGTGGTCCCTCAGTAACAATTCTGTGGCCCTGAGTAACAATTCTGTGGCCCTAAGTAACAATTCTGTGGCCCTCAGTAACAATTCTGTGTCTGTCCCTGAGTAACAATTCTGTGGCCCTAATAACGTTTCTGTGGCCCTAAGTAACAGTTCTGTGGCCCTCAGTAACAATTCTGTGTCTGTCCCTGAGTAACAATTCTGTGGCCCTAAGTAACAATTCTGTGGCCCTCAGTAACAATTCTGTGTCTGTCCCTGAGTAACAATTCTGTGGCCCTAATAACGTTTCTGTGGCCCTAAGTAACAATTCTCTGTGCCCTCAGTAACAATTCTGTGTCTGTCCCTGAGTAACAATTCTGTGGCCCTAAGTAACGTTCTGTGGCCCTAAGTAACAATTCTGTGCCCTCAGTAACAATTCTGTCTGTCCCTGAGTAACAATTCTGTGGCCCTAAGTAACGTTTCTGTGGCCCTAAGTAACAGTTCTGTGTCCCTCAGTAACAATTCTGTGTCTGTCCCTGAGTAACAATTCTGTGGCCCTAAGTAACGGTTTCTGTGGCCCTCAGTAACAATTCTGTCTGTCCCTGAGTAACTGTTCTGTGCCCTAGTAACAATTTCTGTGGCCCTAAGTAACGGTTCTGTGGCCCTCAGTAACAATTCTGTGTCTGTCCCTGAGTAACAATTCTGTGGCCCTAAGTAACAATTCTGTGGCCCTAAGTAACAATTTCTGTCCCTCAGTAACAATTCTGTCTGTCCCTGAGTAACAATTCTGTGGCCCTAAGTAACAATTCTGTGGCCCTAAGTAACAGTTCTGTGGCCCTCAGTAACAATTCTGTGTGTGTCCCTGAGTAACAATTCTGTGGCCCTAAGTAACGTTTCTGTGGCCCTAAGTAACAATTCTCTGGCACTCAGTAACAATTCTGTCTGTCCCTGAGTAACAATTCTGTGGCCCTAATAACGTTTCTGTGGCCCTAAGTAACAGTTCTGTGGCCCTCAGTAACAATTCTGTGTCTGTCCCTGAGTAACAATTCTGTGGCCCTAAGTAACAATTCTGTGGCACTCAGTAACAATTCTGTCTGTCCCCCTGAGTAACAATTCTGTGGCCCTAATAACGTTTCTGTGGCCCTAAGTAACAGTTCTGTGGCCCTCAGTAACAATTCTGTGTCCCTGAGTAACAATTCTGTGGCCCTAAGTAACAATTCTGTGGCACTCAGTAACAATTCTGTCTGTCCCTGAGTAACAATTCTGTGGCCCTAAGTAACGTTTCTGTGGCCCTCAGTAACAGTTCTGTGTCTGGCCCTCAGTAACAATTCTGTGTCTGTCCCTGAGTAACAATTCTGTGGCCCTAAGTAACAATTCTCTGGCACTCAGTAACAATTCTGTCTGTCCCTGAGTAACAATTCTGTGGCCCTAATAACGTTTCTGTGGCCCTAAGTAACAGTTCTGTGGCCCTCAGTAACAATTCTGTGTCTGTCCCTGAGTAACAATTCTGTGGCCCTAACTAACGTTTCTGTGGCCCTAAGTAACAATTCTCTGGCCCTCAGTAACAATTCTGTGTCTGTCCCTGAGTAACAATTCTGTGGCCCTAACTATAACGTTTCTGTGGCCCTAAGTAACAGTTCTGTGGCCCTCAGTAACAATTCTGTGTCTGTCCCTGAGTAACAATTCTGTGGCCCCTAAGTAAGTAACAATTCTCTGGCACTCAGTAACAATTCTGTCTGTCCCTGAGTAACAATTCTGTGGCCCTAATAACGTTTCTGTGGCCCTAAGTAACAGTTCTGTGGCCCTCAGTAACAATTCTGTGTCTGTCCCTGAGTAACAATTCTGTGGCCCTAACTAACGTTTCTGTGGCCCTAAGTAACAATTCTCTGGCACTCAGTAACAATTCTGTCTGTCCCTGAGTAACAATTCTGTGGCCCTAACTAGCGTTTCTTTGTCCCTAAGTAACGATTCTGTGGCCCCTCATTAACAATTCTGTGTCCCTGAGTAATGCTTCTCTGTCCCTAAGTAACGTTTCTCTGTCCCCAAGTAACGTTTCTGTGGCCCTAACTCTGTCCCTAATACAGAGCGGTCTGCCTCTCTTGAATGACTGGAGGCAAATGAAGAATTCTAAAATGCCGCTATTTATAGCTCGACCATTACACAGTGCTGGCTGGCTGGCTGCTGATTGGCTGATGCGATCACATGTCATTAAGGAATGCATTATGGGTCAGCGCGCCTTGTCTGCGCGCCTTCCCAGACATCCCCGCTCCGTCGCCGCACATGTCCGCCGCCATTTTAGGAAAAATTTTGATTCGCGCGTCCGAAGTAGGCTATTTTTCGGATTCGGCGCGAATCGAAATTTTTCCAATATTCGACTCGAATTCCACTTCGCCTACTTCGATTCGCTCATCTCTAATTGTATTATGAAATCTCACTGACATTCAGTCTCATGCTCTCATAGCAAGTTTTTATCTATGGTACACAGTTACATTGCATCCAGAAAGTATTCACAGCTCTTAACTTTTGCCACATTTTGTTATTTTACAGCCTTATTCCAAAATGAATTAAATTCATTTTTTTCTCAACATTCCACAAACAATACCCCATAATGAAAACGTGAAAAAAGTTTGTTTTGAAATCTTTGCAATTTATTAAAAATAAAAAATGAAAAAAAAAAAAACACCTGAACATAAGTATTCACAGCTTTTGCTCAATACATTGTTAACATAAAATGTGGCAAAAGTTAAGCTCTGTGAATATTTTCTGGATGCACTGTATACATCAAAGGAACATCAGTCACTTTTGGTATTATTGCCATTTTAGCATTTATGGTAGGAGATCAGGCATTTGGGAGACGTCAGATATTAATGGCCAATAGATACATAAACAAGACCATAGCTTTGTCATCATTCCTCAGCTGTGGCTTCCTTCTGGGTTGTAGCCTTACAGTCAGTGGATTGCTGATGTTATTGGGCAACAATGCAAATGGCAAGCAGGAAATCTCAATAGTGCAATTCTTTGCCCAATAACGAGAAGATTCAGCAGCACCTTTAGTTTATACAGATGGGAGAAGGACATGCAGGTGTGCAAGGCAATTACTGAAACAAGTGTCAGCGGAACCCAATTACTGTATCTATTGCACAAATGTACATTTTATGACCTATTTACTAACATGGCTTAGTTCACAACTAGTTCAGCATTCCACACTTCTTGAAAATCTATTTAAAGAGACAAAAATAATACATAAAATACACAAAACAGAATTGAGGTGTATATTAAAAAACATCAAATTACAAACATTATGTCTCAATTAGTCAGTAATTGTCTTATAGGTGTGCAGTTAAGTGCCATATTAAATACTAACATACATAATTCATCCAAAAATATCTACTCGGAAAACAGCAAAACATAACTGCTGCACAATTTAAAAAATTAGAAAACATACATAGCGACATATGTGAGTTCTTATCCGCTTCTTAATCAATGACAACAACAGGGCACACAGATAAAGTTTTCGTTCTCCAGAAGTCTAGGAGGAAACAAACAGGTTTTTTGTTCTCCAGAAGTCTAGGAGGAAACAAACAGGTTTTTTATCTTTTGACATGCAAAGTAGTGCTGAACAGTCATGTTGATGGTCCTTCCTGAAATGAAACACCTTAGGTACTGTAGATTTTTACTCACTGCTTTCAAAAAGCACAAGACTTGAACAAAAATTGATGTTAGACTATAAACATATATGCTATATATTTCCTAAATTCAGTTTCATAAAATGTTTTTTCTTTTTTTTATGGTCTCTGCTGTGAGATACTATGTATATGACGCATGCACACATATAAAACAAAAGAGCGTATTTTTCGCTCCATAAGACGCACCTGACCATAAGACGCACCCTAGGTTTTAGAGGCAGAAAACAGGAAAAAAAATTCTGAACTAATGGACTGCAGACATAGTACAGGAGATGACCAGAGACTGCAGACATAGTAGAGGAGATGACCAGAGACTGCGGACAGTACAGGGATGACCAGAGACTGCGGACACAGTACAGGAGATGACCAGAGACTGCGGACATAGTACAAGAGATGACCAGAGACTGCGGACATAGTACAGGAGATGACCAGAGACTGCGGACATAGTACAGGAGATGACCAGAGACTGCAGACACAATACAGGGGATGACCAGAGACTGCAGACACAGTACAGGGATGACCAGAGACTGCGGACACAGTACAGGAGATGACCAGAGACTGCAGACACAGTACAGGAGATGACCAGAGACTGCAGACATAGTACAGGAGATGACCAGAGACTGCAGACATAGCACAGGAGATGACTAGAGACTGCAGACACAGTACAGGAGATGACCAGAGACTGCGGACAGTACAGGGATGACCAGAGACTGTGGACACAGTACAGGGGATGACCAGAGACTGCGGACACAGTACAGGGATGACCAGAGACTGCGGACACAGTACAGGGGATGACCAGAGACTGCGGACACAGTACAGGGATGACCAGAGACTGCGGACACAGTACAGGGATGACCAGAGACTGCGGACACAGTACAGGGATGACCAGAGACTGCGGACACAGTACAGGAGATGACCAGAGACTGCGGACACAGTACAGGGATGACCAGAGACTGCGGACACAGTACAGGAGATGACCAGAGACTGCGGACAGTGCAGGGATGACCAGAGACTGTGGACAGTACAGGAGATGACTGCTGACCTTTGGGGAGGTGGGGGGTGGGTACCTGAATTTGACAGGTACCCGCTCCCACTTCCGCAGAGTTTTTTTTTTTATCTTACCTGTTCCTCTATCCAGCCGCGCGCTGTCTTTCCGGCTTCTGTAGTGTGGGCACTCGTCGGACAGCCGGATTCCCAGTGCGCATGCGCGAGAAGCGCTGCGCTTTGTGATTGGTCCGGCGGCTTCTGGGATCTGTCATGTGTCCCAGGTACCGCCTTACCATTCACAAAGAGCGCTGCTTCTTGCGCATGCGCACTTGGGACCCGGCTGTCACGCACACTACAGAAGCCGGGAAGACAGCGCGCCGCTGGATAGAGGAACAGGTAAGGTCCCACTGCAGAGCTGAGCGGGACCGGCCCGGTATTCTGACACGGCGGCGGTGGAAATACCGGACCGGCCGCTCTATATTCGCTCCATAAGACGCACTGACATTTTCCCTCCTTTTTTGGGGGAAAAAAAGTGCGTCTTATGGAGCGAAAAATACGGTATTTAACAATCACAGAATGTACTATTTTATGTCTGTCAGATTATATCTTAATCATCAGAAACCTTGCTTATGGATGAAGATCAGAAAACATATTTTATCACATAACAGTATTAATGTGATCAATTTTTTATTCCACCTTTACAGATATTTTATACTTATTTATTGCATTAACATCTATACTAAAATCCTTCATAATATTTAATATTACATGTATATTACTATGACACTGGATAAATCAAACATTCATAAAAAACAACTTGAAATCATTGCTACCATGGAAACCTCCTCATAATAAATATTGAAATACACCATTACAAAAACTTTTTTTTAAATATGTGTAGCACTGTCATTTCAAAGCCATTGTTTCTCATTTTTAGGGACTCTTCAATGACTGGCATAGTACCACAGGATTGGCGTAAGGCCAATATGGTGCCAATATTTAAAAAGGGATCAAAATTTTGACCAAGTAATTATAGACCTGTTAGTTTAACTTCTATAGTTGGGAAGATACTGAAGAGTGTAATAAAAGAACACATAGATGAGTTCTTGCTTCAAAAAAATATTTTAAGCAACAGACAACATGAATTCATGAAAGACAGAAGTTGTCAAACAAATCTGATTTCTTTTTATGAGGAGGTGAGCTAAACCTTGGACAGAGGGGTGGCTGTGGACGTGTTATACTTGGATTTTGCAGAAAAGTTTGACACAGTTCCCCACACACAGCTAGTGTAAGGTAAAGTCTACAGGTTTGGAAAAAATCTGTATGTAAATGGATAGAAAACTGTCTAAAAGATTGTATTCGGACAGTAGTGGTTAATGATTCATACTCTGAATGTTCTAGGGTCATCAGTGGTGTACCCCAAGGTTCATTGTTGGGACCCTTACTTTTTAATATATTTATAAACGATATAAGGTCTGGGATAAAAAATACCATTTCAGCCTTTGCAGATGACACCAAGCTGTGCAGTGGAATCAACGTCCTTACAGTATGTTTCCAATTTGCAAGCCGACCTCAATGCACTTTTTAACTGGGCAACTATGTGGCAAATGAGGTTTAATTGTTGATAAATAGAAGATGAGCGAATTTTCAAAAAATTCGAAGATTCGGCTGAATTCGGCGAATTCCAGTGTGAAATTCGATTCGATGCGAATTTCTTCGCTAGAGAAGATGACTTATAAAAAAGGGTTTCTAGGCTTCAGAGATGAAGAAGAGAAGAAGGATGAGAAGAAGAGAAGGAAGAAGATGAAAGAAGGAGAAGGAGAAGAATGAAGAAGAAGAAGAAGGAGAAGGAAGAAGAAAGGAGAGGATGAGAAGAAGAGAGAAGGATGTGGATGAAGAGAAGGATGAGAAGTTGAAGAGAAGGAGAAGGATGAGAAGGAAGGATGAAAGAAGAAGGAGAAGGAATGGGGGGGATGAGAGAAGAAGGATGAGGAGGAGAAGAGAGAGAAGAGTGAGAGGAGAAGGATGAGAAGAAGGAGAAGGAAGAAGAAGAGAAAAAGGGAAGATGAGGAAAGAAGAAGAAAAGAAAGGAGAGAAGAGAAGGGAGAAGAAGAAGAAAAGAAGAAGAATGGAAAAAAGTATTGAAGAGAAGAAAAGGAAGGAGAAGAATGAAGAAGGGAGAAGATGAGAAGAAGGAGAAATGAGAAGGATGAGAAGAAGAGAAGGAGAGAAAGAAGGAGAAAGAGAGGATGAAAGAAGAGAAGGATGAGAAGAAGAAGAAGGATGAGAAGAATCAGAAGGAGGAGAAGGATGAGAAAAGGAAAGGAGAAGATGAGAGAAGAAGAAAGGAGTGAGGAGAAATGAGAAGATAGAAGAAGGGAGAAGGAGAAGATGAGAAAGAAGGAGAAGGATGAGAAGGAAGTAATGAAAAGAATAAGAGAAGAAGAATTTTAAGAAGGAGAAGGATGAGAAGAAGGAGAAGGATGAGAAAGGAAAGGAGAAGGAAGAAGAGAAGGAAGAAGGATGAGAAGAGAAGAAGGAGGAGAAAGAAGGAGAAGGATAATAGAGAAAGAAAGGAGAGAAGAGAAGAAGGATGAGGAAGAAGAAAAAGGAAAAGGGGAGAAGGAGAATGGAAATGAAGAATGAAGAAAAAAAGAAGGAAGAGGAAAGAAGGAAGGAATGAGAAAGAGAAAAAGGATGAGAAGAAAGGAGATGGAAAAGAAAAAAGAGAGAGAGAAGATGAGAAGAAGGATGAAAAAGGAGAAGAATGAGAAGGAGAAGCTGAGGAGAAGAAGGAGAAGAAAGTGGGAAATTGGGGATGGGGGGAAGGAGATGATGGAGAAATGAGAAGATGAAGAGGGGAGGGAAAGGAGGAGAAGAAGAAAAAAAAAAGGAAGGAAGGAAGATTGAGAAGAGGAAGGGAGAAGGATAGGAGGAGAAGAGATGAAAAGAGAGGAGAAAAGGAATAGAAGAAGGAAGAGGGGTAAAAAGGAGAAGAAAGAGAAGAAGGAGAAGGATGGAGAAGGAGAAGGAGTTGAGGAAGAAGGAGAAGGAAGAGAAGAAGGAGAAGAGAAGAAGAGGAGAAGGATGAGAAGAAGGAGAAAGGTGAGAAAAGTCTGAGAAGGAAGGGAGAAGTTTCTGGATGAAGCATGAGGGAGAAGGAGAAGGATAGAAAAGAAGTATTGAGGGAGATGGTCAAAGAATGAGAAGAAAGGAGACTAGAAAGGAGTTCTGGAGAATTCCTTCCATAAAAAGCCAGAAAAAGTTGAGGGGAGAAGGGATGAGAAGTTTCCAGAAGGAGAAAGAAGATTTAGGTAGAAAATAGAAGACACTACAATGACCCGCTGTAAAAGGGAAGGACATGAGAAACTATGAAAAAATAGTCTATTTCTGACAAAGGATGACATTCCCTCCATAGAAGGAAGCGGTTGAAGAAAACGCTGTATGGAAGTGACTTTTATGTCCCAGAAAGTCAGAAGAAGGACTATTTCTGACAGGAAGGACATTCACTCCATACAGCGGAAAACCGCTGTATGAAGAGGGAAGTCATAGAACTGAAGAAATGAAATAACTTTAGAGAAGCTTTTCTGAGGACTGTCCTTCCATACAGGTTGGAACAGTTGATTCAATTATTTGAGACTGTTCAAGAAAATGAGAAAAATCCATTTAGGAATCTTGATAAAACAAGGGGAATGAGATTAAATTTGTTTCAAAATGTAGGAGAAGAATATCCCAGAAAGGAGAAACAAATAGATACAATGTTTCAACCGCTGGATGACAGATGGAAGACAGTCCCAGAACTGTCATTAATAGTCTATTTCTGACAGTTCTATGACATTCCCTCCATACAGCGGTTGAAACAGGCTGTATGGAGGTGTGAATGTCCCCCAGAACTGTCAGAAATAGACTATTTATGACAGTTCTGGGACATTCGACTCCATACAGCTGGTTGAAACATTGTATCTATTTATTTTCCATAGGGGACATTCTGCAAATACACTTAGGAGCGCTGCAGATACAATATTTGCCGTCTTGAAATTGACATTCATTTCATCCATACTAGTTTCTTCTTTTCATCTATCATTCCCTGATAGATGAAAAAAAGCAAGAAGTAGGAATTTGAAATTAAGAAAATAATTCCAAGTCCGGAAAAGTGTATCTGCAGCGCTCCTCTAAATAAAATCTGCAGAATGAATTAAAAATTAATTTTTTTTCAATTGGAATATGAAAAACAAAAGATACAAATGTTTCAACCTGCTGTATGGAGAGGGAATGTCCCAGAACTGTCAGAAATAGGCTATTTAAAAAAATTGACAGTTCTGGGACATTCACTCCATAAGCGGTTTTCAACCGCTGTATGGAGGGAATGTCATAGAACTGTCAGAAATAGACTATTAATGACAGTTCTGGGACTGTCCTTCCATACAGCGGTTGAAACATTGTATCTATTGGTTTCCATAAATGGATCCATTTATGGAAAAAAATAGGGGAGACAATTTGAACCGCAGTATGGAAGGACAGTCCCAAACTGTCATTAATAGTCTATTTTCTGACAGTCAGATGACATTCCCTCCATACAGCGGTTGAAACCCGCTGTAAGGAGTGAATGTCCCAGAACTGTCAGAAATAGTCTATTTCTGACAGTTCTGGGACATTCCCTCCATACAGCGGTTTCCGGCAAAAAGTGTATGTGCAGGAGTTTCCTCTATTCTGCAGATACACTTAGAGGAGCTCTGCAGTACACTTAGAGGAGCTCTGCACATACACTTTTTGCCGGCATTGGAATTAATTCTTATTTTCATCCCTACTTTCTTCTTCGTCTTCTTATTCTTTGACATCTGGAAAAGAAAGATTTGGACCGAGGATGGGATGAAGAAAAGAAGAAGAAAAAAGTAAGGATAAATAAGATAAGTCCCAAGCCGGCAAAAAGTATCTAAGTGCAGATAGCTCCTCA